AATTGACCGTGCGTATAGTCTCAGACAATAGAGCATTTTAAGTCCCTCTATTCTTCAAGCTGAAGGATAACATTTAAACCTAACGATCTAGTAAATAAGATATACTACACTGGTCAGATTTTTAGGCGTTTTCTTTATAAATACACCTAAAGGCCAGCTAACTCTTAACCGTTGTTTGCATTAGGATTCTTGGTCTGATGACTCTTATCAACAATCAATGGGAAGGGGAGCTGAGAAGAGGGTAGGTACAGACGGCTTTATAATTAGAAAAGTACAGCACTAGCTAACAGTGGCCGAAAAGGAGCTGAGACTCGGGAAAGTGAGAGTCGGAAAGAAGATAAGCCAAGTTGTCAAACCAAGATGGGGAAAGGGCAAGCGTGGGGAAGAGAGAACTACCTCGCGGGACACATGAGAGTTCCAATCGGGAGGGCAGGTTAAGCGAGCGCGCAAGTGGGGAGGGTGCTGGCCTCCCCTAAGATGGGAAGAGTTACGGTGAGTCAAGGAGAAGGAAGAAAAGCAGCAAGACTCTTCACATCAGACCTGTTTGAATAAAAGGGGCACACGCCGAGGCATCGTAGGGAGCACGGCTCACACACTACGAGCCCCGGCTGGGCAGGAGAACGAAGCCCCAGAAGGAAATGGCTCTGCTGGCGCAGGCGAGCGGAGCCAGCCCCTGCACTCGCTTCCCGGGCTGCGCCCTCGGAGGTTACCTTTGAGCTGGGGCAAGGGGTGCAGCTCCGCCTGGCTGCCCTGGCTGCGGAACTGCGACGAGCCCTGGGAGCGCTTCTGCCTCAGCGCCTTGCGCACCGATTTCCGGGTGAAGCCGTCCACTTTCTCCGAGGCCGAGATGGCGGCGCTGGCAGCCCCCGCCGGCGGCGACGACGACGACATCTCCGCGGCCCTGGCGCTTGGCAGCTCCGGCTGCTGCTTGCACCGCACGGGCAGCGGCGGTGACGGCAGGAGGAGGCGGGGGAGAGGCGCAGAGAGCTCGCGCCCCTGCTCTCCGGCCCCCCGGCCACACCGCCCTCCGGCTCCCGGGCGCTGCCGAGCTTCTCCTTGCCGCCCGCCAACGCCTCACCGCCACATCTCAGCGCCGGAGGTTCTTGGTCCCCGCGGCGCTGAGCTCCCGGGGCCGAGGGAGAGAAGGGCGGGGGCGGAGGGGGGAGAAGAAGTTGTTGACTCCGAGCGCGGAGAGCGGGTGGAAGGGAGCCTGAAGTTTAGACAACTGGGGCGAGGGCGCGGGGATGCGGACGCCGAGCGCGCCTCTCGTCCCTTCAGCCTAGGTCCCCAGCCGGCCGGCCGGCCAGCACCTCAGCGGCCGATGCCAGCGCAGCCGGCCCTGTCTGCAGCCTCCTCCCGGGGCGCTGCCATCGCGGGTCCCCTCGGACCCCCCTGCCCCCGCGGTGCCGGCTCTTCTCCGTCAGCGTTGGCCCCTCATCGCCCGGGGCGGTGGCCCGCCGCCCCGGCCCCCAGCGCGCACACACTCGCTTCTCGCAACGCCAAGCTGTCCGAACCCCCTCCCCCACGCGCCCGTCGGCCGCCCACGGAGATCCCCGGGCGAGCGACCGCTACAACTTGAGAAGGTGGTTGGTACAGGCAAGAGGAGAGTGTGGGTGCGCGTGCGCGCGCGCGAAGGGGGTGGGGAGGAAGGAGTTTGACTGACAACTTCCGCGGGGTCCTGCCAGCCTCTCGATGCTCCGGAGGCCGTAGTGGGTGGGAAAGCATGCCAGCTTCCTCAGCCAATCGCAGGGCTAAGCGGCAGAAACGGAGTGAGGCGTGGCCTCCTGGGCGGTCTCAAGAGTCCGAGGCTGGGAGGTAAGGCAGAGGAATGGGGCGTGGCTGTATGACGGACTTCGGTCTCAGCCAATAGCAAGTGAAGACGGCGAGCGGGGTGCCCTCTGCGTCACAACAGTGTAACGAATTCTCTTGGGTAGGAGGGGAAGTACCCCTCCAGCAGTGGGCAATTTTGCACGCCTGCGCGACAGCTCCAGGCTAAAATTGCTGCCCTGACAGCCTCTGAGAATACCGGAAAACTAGAGGGGGTAGTTCAGAGAGCAAAATAGTGTCCCTTCCCTTCCCTCTCCAATCTGCTGGCCAATAAGAAACTGAAGCGACTGGTGGGGAGCTTGAGTCTGGGGCGCGAAAGAGCGCCAGCTGTTACGTCACTGGGCAGAGGCGGAGCAAAGGTTGGTGGGCGAACCAGCAGTGTGATTGACAGGCGAAGGAGCCTCGGGGAAGGCGAGGAAGTGAGCTTGTGCAATAGAAGAGAGGTACTGGACTGCTGGGCGGGCCTTGGAGCCTCACTAAACCGCGTAATTGGTAGTTGGGGAATAAATTTGTAGCTCTCGGTGGTTCCCACACCGCAGCTCCTTGAGAGCTGCTCTCGGGTGGGGTTTGAGCAATTTAAAGTCTACTACTTAAGAGAGTCCTGCAACTCCACGCTCTTCAAAAAGAAGTTTCTCATTCCCTACTTAGTAGCCCACTAATTTTACCCCCTCTTCAACCGAAGGCCTTCAACTACCCCGACGCGACTTGTACAAATTCGCTGATCAGGTTTGAGGATTTGGGGGCTTGCCATTTCCTCTTATTGGGATCTCTTCCCTGGAGATTCCGTCTACATTTTTAATTTTTTAAGGACAATGATTGGTCATAGTTTTTTTGTGCAGTGCTTTCCGTACAATAATTCTTAATAAGCAGTGCATAAGCTGAACAGTCTGTCTCCCTTTGCACTGGAATCTGCAATCCTCTCCCTCGAGCTCCAATCCTTTTCCTTCCGACGTAATAAAAATAGCCGCCGTGTACTTAAGCAAAGCTACTTGATACATACGTACAAAAGATTTAAACTTGGGAAGGAAGTTGAACTCTAGATCTAGAACCAACATACTGTCCCCAAAACATTTCCTCCTTCAGTCTCACTGGGCGATAAAATTGCACACAATCCTCCTAATCAAGGAGGTTCAAAGCTCAGCAGCATCTCAGAAACCTTTCTCAGCCAGTCAAACTCCAGATGGTATTGAATCTACCTTCGCGAACTTTCGAAACCAGGACTTCCTCACAGTTGGCACAACCGAACGCCAAACATAGTTCAGTGCTTTCGAACTCACTGCCAAATCAGTCTTTTTAAATGCCACTTTTATCTTATCTGCACGTTTGAAGAACCACCCAGTCCTACAGAATACAGTCCAAATTCAGGGTCTCTTCAGTCTAACTCCTAGCTGTCTTCAGGTGCAAATCCCACCATGTGTCTACACAAACTTTTTCGTTCAGGCACATCATTCCACATACTGATCCCCTAAAAGTAGTTGTTTTGCCACCTTGACACAATCTTCCCACATGCCCTTCCCACATGTTAAAATAATCCACCTTTTTTCCATCTTGTTGAAGCATCTTTTCTTCAAACCCCAGCCGACCCTGATCTTTTATGATGTTCATGATAATCCAACCAGAAGTGATGTCTCCCTTCTTTGAACTCCTACAGCATTTATTATCCACATTGCTCACAGGGCCTTTCACCACATACTGTCTGAGATGGCAGTATGCCCTGAAAGCTTATAAACACCAAGAGAACAAGAACTCAGTCATTTTACACTTGTGTATTCCCCACTGAACACAGGATAGATTGTTAGGTATGATCCAACTTTTAGTTCTCAACAGGAGGGTTTCTGAAAGTGTGGTTACCGGGTAGCCTGCATCAGAATCCTCTGCAGAGCTTATTTAAAATGCAGATTCCTGGACCTCCCCAACACAAAGTCATAAACTTTGGGAAAAGCACTGAGAACTCTACTTTTAATAAGCTCCCTAGGTTATGCTTATACACACAAAAGTTTGAAATTACTATTCTCTAGTCATTTGGATGTTATTAAAAATTGATTGTAAATGTCTAGAAGTCAGAGGTAGTACAATTTATAATAAAGATAATTTACATAAAATAAAAAGGGGAGACAAATAGCAGAAAGCAAACCAATACAGTAAAGCTAAAATTTATACTGGAATATGATAAATAAGAGATATGGAAAATAGATATTTGAAACAAGTTGTTGGGAGGCTTGGAACCAGCAAAACTGTCTGGGCTTTGTCTGAAATGGCCTACTGGGGAAGAATTTTGAGCACATTTTAGAGAATGAGTGAATCAAAACCTGAAAAGAGAGAATGGCATTCCAAATTAAAGTCACCAAATGTTTTAGGGGAGAAAGACCAATAGCCCAAGAATCAAAAGGCCTGACTTTATATTACCCATCAATAGTGTGACCCTGTCAAGTTACTCACCCTGTCAGATCCTTAGTTTCCATATCTGTACAGCAGAAAAAAATAAGTGAACAGCCTTCTTCACAGGGTTGGCATAAATTTGAAGTGTGACACATGAAAGAAAACTCAGGGAAATGAAAATTATACAGATAATTTTATACATATGTATATTTATCAAATATTTATTTTCCATCCACTGTCTTGAGTAAATAAGGTATCTGGGTTCCGAACAGAAATTTGGTCGCTAAGAATCATCTAACAGAAAGCTGCAGTGTCGGTACTAACCTCTATGTGTCCCTGAAGCAGGCAGAGTGTCTGATTCCATGCCACAGAATTCCTGCTCCTTCCCATATGGGAAGATACTTGGTAAACAGTGATTCAGAGGCCAAGACTTTATCACTAGCAAATTCCTTGGATTGGTTTGTCCTCACATGACTCGATTCCCATAGGCCTTGAACATACGTACACTTACTGATCTCATCCTTTTATTCATGATGCTTAGTTTGCTGGAGAAAATGATTCGTGAAACAACAATATCCACAATATCAAAATCATGGTCCTTTAATGGTTTTAAACAGTGCGTCAGAGAGAGTGTTCTTTTCAAATCACTATGAAATTCTCTAAAGGATATCCAAGCAAAGTTTTGACTGTTGACATAATATAAAATTTCTCCCTTATACCTGTTTAAAATGTTTGATTCTTACTACCACTTTACTATCTAGAATCTAAATCAAGATATGATCTGATCTATCATAAAAAATGTTAATTTTTAGTGCCTCATTCCTTTTTTATTTAAATACATTCACATTTTTTAAAATTCAAAAGGAGAAGAGTAACAGGAAAAGTCTCACTCCCACCCCTGTCTCCCAGCATCCAATTTCTCCCTTTGACAGCAATCAACGCTATCAGTTTCTTACATATGTTTCCAGAGATATAACATCTTTAATAGCTTGAGTTTTAATAAATTCCCATTTTAAGAAGCTTGCATGACTTACAGGTATTTTACTGCCCGAAGAAGTTTGAAAACCACTGCCCTAAACTTCAGTAAAACCTTTCCAGAGTTCATACAGGCTTATTCATATCCATTCATTCATTCATTTTCATTCATTCTTGTAACAGATATTTATAAGTGCATGCTTTGCATCAACAGAATATAAAAGCTGGAAGGAAACTTAAAGGATCATTGGTACAAGGATGGTCAAGTTGATACCTAACCCCAAGTATAACAAGAAGGTCTTTCTCATGGTCCTCAGACTGATCCAAATTGGAAAGTCCTTTTTTTCCCCATGTCTTACAAGAGACTTATGTTTTTATGTGCAACAAGATCTTCTAACTAATAACTTATACTATGTGAGTTATTAAAGCTTATTGAAATTTGGTTTCCATAAACTGAACTTGGCATTTTCTAGATTTTTTTCAAGGACTCTAAAATTCCTCGCTGCCTATCTGTCCACTTTGCAAGAACAAGTGCACACTGAGATGATTAGAATTCTTGCAATTTTCAGAAAGTGTCTTTTGTTAACAGGGTAAGAGCAGAAGTTATCGTTTTCAATGTCTGTCATTTCTGCTTTGTAATTATAAACTTCTTTCAGTTAAGCTTATCATTATTAACTTAGTTTCTTGTGGGCTATTGTGCAGGCTCTTGTGGTGGTCAATCAGGACTAAGTCAGTGGCAGCTGAGATTGTAGACTTATTTTGGTGGAGGAGTACACAGGACTCCTCCAGATGGATTGAATGTAGGCTGTTGATACAGCAGAGGTATTC